CCCGGCCTGATTGCAAGTTTTAATTTTTGTTTTCTGCCATATGTAGACCTATGCTTTACTCATTTTTAAAAAATGAACTTCATATTTCTAAATAATTCACGTGCAATGGTAAGAAATAATAGAGGGATTCCATGTACCCTTTATTTGGTTTCCCCCAATGGTAACATCTGCAAAAGTAGTAAAATATCACAACCAGTATATTGACATTGATAAAATCAACTGATCTTATTTAGATTTCCCCAGTTTTACTTGTGTTCATTTATGTATATATGTGTATGTATGTGTGTATTATTTCTATGCAATTTTATCACATGTGTAGGTTTATGTATCCACCACCACAGAACAGGCCCCTCACCACAAGGATCCCTAGTGTTGCCCTTGTATAGCCACACCCATCTCCCTTTTATCCCCTTCCCACTGTCATCTCTGATCCCTCGCAAGTACTAATCTGTTCAGGAATGATATGTAAATAAAATCATATAGTATGTAATTTTGAGGTTGGCTTTTTTCCCTATTCAACATAATTTCCTTGAGATCCTTCCAAGTTATTGTGTGTATCAATAATTTGTTCATTTTTGTTTCTGATTAACATTCCAGGGCAATGGTATTTATCATCTAATTCTCATATGTTCTCTTTATGGTTTGATAGAATAGCTCTGTGGCTATTGCTGATGTTGATTTGGAAGACAGAAAAAATAAATTGGATACCGTACAGACACTGAAAACAGCAAAGACAAAACGGAAAAATTCAGCTCAGTCCTTTTCAGCTCAAAGGACTAAAAAGCTGAAAGTTGATGAAGAAACCAGCAAAGCCGGCAGCTTAGAGGGTGGGAGTAACAGTACAGAGACACCGTCCACAAGCACCATGTGGGAAGGTACATACAAGAAGGAAGAAAATGAAGATGACTTTGCGTTTGGTCAGTCCCCTTTAAAGAAAATGAAGACTGAAATGTGTCCTCAGGGGCAGCCTGTCAAGTTTCCAGCAAATGCCAGCAACATTAAAGAGGAGGTGGAAATGAACTGGGATATAGTACAGGTATGTGCAGCCTTTTTCTGCCACTTTAGGTGGTTTGATTCCTTTCTTTTTGACTAGCATAAGGGTTGTACTGGCCAAGGGAAGGGCTGGGAGTTTTCAGTTCTCTTTTCAGTTTTGTCAGTGATTTCTGGAGACTTTGGCTGCTAGTTTCTTTCTTGGGTATGCTGTTCTGTGTTATGGCTTCTCACCATCAGTTTTTTGGCTGAGAGCTCTGACCTCAGTCAAGGTAGGTCTTTGCCATGGTGTTTTAGTGAACATACACTATGTAGACAGACTGTACCAACAGATTGGGCCCTCAAAGTTTTGTTGTTAAGTTTTTTGTTTGAACTTGGACTGTATTTCCTCATAAAAATAATACAGGTGATTAGGTCATTGGCTGTTCATATTAATACATGTATTTAACCTTTAGTGTAATATTGTAATATACTACAAACAAGGCCTAGCAATTTTGTAAAGAAAAATTCTATGAGAATTCCAACTTGAGGTGCTAGAATTACATCTCTTACTACAAAGGAAATCGAATTTCTCCCAGCTTTTTTTTTTTGGCTGGCTTTGGGGACGGTAGAGGGGACCTGAAGGGTGGCTCATGAGCAGTGATTCTCAACTTTTTGTCTGCCCTGACACACTGCGACCATTTCAGACTTAATTATTTATGGCAGTGCCTCTCAGAGTAGTTGGGGATGACCTCCCTCCCTGTTGTCTGTCCCATGTGACTTTGACATGTACGCCTTCCCCTGCCGTAAATGGTGGCTATAGCATCCAGGGCCTCTGCTGATCCTAATACTGCTTCTCAGTCTGGGACTGTCTGTGTATCACCTTTTTCTTCAGAGGCGTGTCTTTTTACCCATGCTGCCTTTTTTATTACCTATTAGTAGAATGTCACCCGTAGTTTTTAATCATGATTTTTCTTCTCTCTGGCCCACTAAGGAGTAGGATGTTGCTTCATAGCTTTTCCTCTCACTCTTGTTTCTGAACTAAGTAGTCCAAGGTATCTTGGAGAAACAGTATGTTAGGCTCCTTTCTGTGCCTTCTTTTTCTTTATTCATTTAGACCTACAAGGCAATGTTTTAAAGTGTGGTTCATGGTCCACCTGCATCACATTCACTCTGAAGGCTTTTGTAAAGAGCAGAGTCCTTGGTCCTAGACCAGGCCTACAGGGGCAGGTGGAAATTTCCCACTTCCCTCCCCTTTCCCTTTACTAACACTTTTAAGCTTATTTCTATTATTGACATAGATTTATCCCTGGTAGTTGACTGTGTGCAGGAAGAAGGGAGGAACATTTCAAAGACCATGAAGTCTCTGGTCTTGGACACTTAGTAATAAATTATTCATAGTTAGGTCAAGAGCTACTTTCTCTATGACACTTTTCCTTCTGACCCATTCCCTAATCTCTGTTTCAGAGAAAGAGAAGAAAATGACCCTATCTTAGCCTTGTCTCTAGGTTACAAGCAATAGAAACCTACTTCTAATGAGCTTAAGTAGAAAAGAGTTTATTACCAAGGACACAGGGACCTTTCAAAGAACAAAAGGGACAGAATGTGATCAAGTCTCCCAAAGGAAAACCATGAGGACTTGGAGAAGATACTCTCAGCTTTCTCTCTCTGGTGTTTTATGATCACCCATTTCTGTTGCTTGTCCGTTTATTATTTTCTCTCAGCAGACCAGATTTCACTGGTTCTTTACAGAGGATGGAAGATGAAAGCTCCCCTGCTCATTTGCCATTAGTTTTATTAGTTACATAGACTGACCAGCTAATTATGCATTCCAATTCCAAATTTTAGGAAGACAATCTGATTGGCTGAATTTGTGTCAGTCCACCTCTGGTCCTATATCCGGCATGCAGAGGCCTCATTGTATTGTCAGGGGTTCACCAGCATATATGTGTATGTGTGTGTGTGTGTGTGTGTGTGTGTGTGTGTTGGGGGTGGGGGGAGAATGTTTCTCTGAGAAAAGGAGGTGTTTGTGGGCCAGCTGAAAGTTTCTACTTCAAGGTCTAGCTTAAGAATGTAAATTTATTAATATAGGTGATTAGACTCTCTTAAAGATTTCCATAGATTTCTTACTTATCACTACCATAATACCTTAAGGTGTTTGTTTATAGATCTTTATTTGACAAGGGATAGCAATACTTACCATTTATTTATGGATGACTTATTTTGGGCTAGGCTCCATACCAGTCACTTATATTACATTCTTTTATTTATTCATTATTATGGTGGATTTTTAGAAATAATGGATAATATAAAAATCATTTATAGCTAGGATTAAAATAGAAAACATTTTCGTTTGTACAGTCTATAGAATTTAGTTTCTATAGGTTGTGTCTTTTCTATAATAGGTATAACTAAAGTTGATTTCACAGCTTTGAGAGAAGAAAGTGTGTTCTGCAGTTTGTTAACCTGGACTTTTTATTTTTTGTTAGGAGTGATTGTCTGGGTTCACTAATGAGTTCTGTAATGTCGCTAAAGTAGCAGTTAAACAAAGCCTTTTGGTACATTCTAAGAGAAAGGCAAGACTACTGGCTGAGTAGAGAGAGGAGGGAAAAGTGTCTGGTGAGAGACAGGTGTCCAGTTGTCAGAGGGCGAGTGGCAGAAGAAAAGCAGAGGAAGAAAGGCTTCATTTGTAAGCCAAAGCAGCAGTGCCCATTGTTGTGTTGTGGGCCTATCAAATGGGAGCAAGTTACCTCATTTTAAGGCCCTAGAACTATTTTGTGGCCTTTGGCCTTCTTGGAAAATATAGGTCTTTGCTTTTAATTCCAAGTAGTTTTTTCCTCCTTCTCCTCCTTATTGTAAGTGATTTTTGACAGCTGAAAGCCTGTTCTCTGGCAATCTGGACACTCCTTGCCTGCCAGTTGGGAAAAGTGGTTGTTACAGCTCCCACCTTTGCTGAGCAATCTGATGGCAGCTATTAAGCTCAGCATTTTCTAGGTGGGTTTGGGGAAATTGCAGCTGGGTGACTGTATGTGTGAATTTACATGTTTAGGTTTTTTTAATTTAACCAGATGCAGTCATTCTTCCCTAACTTAACTTTTATAGACAATTCTTGTGGTATATGTGGGTTTCCTTTCTTATATTTTTTAAATTCCCCCATAAACAGGAGAAATTTTATGGGAGAAAAAATAATTTTGTCTTAAAACTTTATTGGTGCTTCTGGATATGGTTGAGAACAGTGGAAGGTGGTGGAAGAACAGGGAACTGACAAGAGCAAGCGTCAATAATAGCAAGTCAGAGAATCAGGAAGTTCTTAAACATTTGGATAAGGACTAGACTCAATAAAATGCCTGTGATATGTGCATTATCTGCTACAGAATATATGTCTGTATGTCCAAGTTCTTTGGGGAAATCCTGACTAGTACCTGGTTAGCAAGGAATGGTCAATGTTGGTTTGATAGACAGAAAGGTCCAAAGAAATGAGAAACAACAAAAAGTGGATTACTTTTCTCGTAAGGTAGGGACAGGGAGACAGAAAAATAGAAAAATAACTGATTAGTTAACATCAGGTTACTTCAGGTTAATTTTTTTTTTTTTTTTTTTTTGAGACAGAGTCTCACTGTGTTGCCCTGGCTAGAGTGAGTGCCGTGGCGTCATCCTAGCTCACAGCAACCTCAACCTCCTGGGCTCAAGTGATCCTCCTGCCTCAGCCTCCGAATAGCTGGGACTACAGGCATGTGCCACCATGCCCGGCTAATTTTTTTTCTATGTATTTTTAGTTGTCCAATTAATTTCTTTCTAATTTTTAGTACAGACTGGGTCTCGCTCTTGCTCAGGCTGGTTTCGAACTCCTGAGCTCAAACAATCCGCCCGCCTCGGCCTCCCAGAGAGCTAGGATTACAGGCGTGAGCCACCGCGCCTGGCCTCCAGGTTACTTTTTATTTTGTGTAAGGATTAAAGCATAAGATGACAATATTGGGAAAAGAAGTGAGGAAAAAAAGGTGGCCAGTATCTGAGTTGGATATCTCACTGCAATTCTGCATATAAAATAAATGCAGGGCCTCTTACTAAGTTTAACCTGTTTGTCCCAGGAGAGATTAAATAAAATAAATTTTATTGGTACTTTTTGTTAATATAATTCAGCTGGAAGTATTTGTTGTGGGCCTTTTTAAAAAAAAAAACAACTTTTTTTGAAGTATAATTTACAGAAAATTATACTTAAATATACAGCTCAGGAATGTTCAAAAGTGTAACCATGTAACTAGCTTCCAGATCAAGAAACAACATTACCAACACCTGAGAATCCCCCTTCGTACCCTTTTCCAATTCCCCCTTCCCTTTCCTATAACCACTCTTCTGATTTCTAACATCATAGATTAGTTTTTCTTTTTGCAGTCTTTAAGGAAACTTCTTTGTGTGATAAAATATGATACCATAAAATAACTAGGTAAGGGCAAAGAGAACAGTAGGAATCAACAACTTTCCAGAAGGAAGGTGTCCAATGGCTGGTTTGGGAATTATTTTGAATGGAAAAGTCTCTCAATTCTACTCATTAGAGAGTCATTTAACTTAAATGTTGTTTTAAAATTCCGTCGCTGCCTGGATGATTGAGGCTATAGTTTATTTGCTTGATGTCAGATGTTTTCGTTTTAACTGAGGGAATGGGAATTTCCCTTTGAAAGAGTAAATCTCCTTAGGACATTTTGGGAGAAGACATTTCCTTGGAAGTTTTAGACAGTCAGAGGGCAGTTTGAAGTCACCCTGTCTCACTTATCTGCAAGAAGAGAAGTGATACATTTGATTTATTTGTGTTTTTGCCCTCCAAAATCATCTTGCTTTGCATACAAATCAAATTTTTGAAGTGGTACTGTGGCTTGCGGGACTTTGGGCAATTTATTTAACTTCTTTGGGCCTCAGTTTTTACATCTGTAAAATGGGAATTATAATAATACCTATCTCATGTAGTTTAAATGAGTATATATTAAATGTGTAAAAGTGTTTGGAACATAATAAACTTTATATAGGTATTGGCTTGAAACAATAGTCAAAAAAATCCCTCTTTAATTCTTAGAGGTGAAAAATTCTCAACGCGGCCTTTTTCCCTGACTCCCATCCCTATCCATCAGTTAATTAAAAAAATAAAGTAATAAATGTGAATAGTTTAAAAGTATAAACTATAGTGGTTCCTTGCCATACCCCTTCCCATCCCTAAGGCTCGCTCTCTACTTTTAACTCTTCTAGTTATTTTTTGTTGTTTGCCTCATTTTTCTAAAACACTCATTATTGGGCCTTGCCCCATCGTTTCTGATTCAGTGGCTCTTGGGGGGGACCCAATAATTTGCATTTTTGATAAGTTCTCAGATGATGCTTATGCCCTGGTTTAGGGACCACGCATTGTGAACTATTGCTGGAGTCTACAGATCTCATGGACTAAAAGGTGATTGACTCAACAGCTGAAACCAAGCAATGAGCAGATCAATTGTTGAATGACTTCATACTGAGTATCCTGTACTGAGTATATGATAAAGTTCAAACTCTGTGGAATTCACTGTCCAACCTCATTCCCTTTTCCATTTCTCACCCAATCTCTACAGCCCTTGTACAATTCAGCTTACTGAACTTTTAGCAATTTTAAAAATGTGCAGTGGCTTTTCATATGCTATTCTCTCTTCCTGGAATCCCTGCCCCCCATTTAACTGCTTGGAAATAGCTTCATTCTCTTGTTGCTTTTCTGTTGTTGCAGATTGACGTTTCTACTTCTCCTGTGCTCTTAAAACAATGTAAAGAGTAGACTTTATATTGTATTTCAACTATTTACTTGTTTGTCTGTCTTCTTTTTAGCTTGTTAGCTCCTTGGGAAGAGGGACTTGGTTTTTTACATCTTGATTATCATTGGCTTAGTATGGTTATTGACATATAATATGACCTAAAATAAATGTTTGACTAAATCAATATAGAAGAAATTTGGTGATTTGGAGGCCCCAAAGTAATGATTGCTTATATGTAGTTTTGTTGAGCCTAAATTTCCAGGAGCAAATTTGTATGAGTAGCAGCATATACAACCTTAACTCATATGATACTATCTGGATTTGTTACAACCTAGTACTGTGCAGATGTGGGTCTGGAGTCTTAGCTGTTTTAGATTTCTTTTACTTAATAGCTGAGCTATCGGGTAGTGGGAGCTCATGGGTTGCTCTAACAATCACAAGGTTCCAAAATGATGAGCATTTTGGTTGTTTCCACTTGTCATCTCTGTCTTTCAGAATCTTGCCTATTTTTCAAGGGCCACCTGAAATGCTACTCCTGCAGTAAGCCTCCATTGATTACCCCAGGGAGATCTTTCTCTTCTCTGAAAACATAGTACCACTTACTGCCTGGTACATGATGGTTTATTTCTACTTATTTGCATTAATATTTTATCTTCCCTTCTAGATTGCTGACTCCTTCATGAGCAGCATTATGAAGGCCTCTCAGGAGGGAAGTAGTTGGACTTTTACTAGTAGGTAGATGAGAGTCATTGGAGCTTAAGTTCAAAAAAAGAAAAGAAAAAATAAGGAGCTTGATTATGTCTATATTTTAGGGATATAATCAGTAGTAATGCAGAGAGGATGGGTGGGAGGCATAGAGAACAAAAAAAAAACTGCTATATGGTTCATATAAAAGATGCTATTAGTAGAAAGAATTGAGGGGAAGGAACAGACATTTTAAAAGCTCTCTTTGCCTCCTTGGTGACAGAGTAGATGGGTGTGATAGAGAACAAATAGTGACACTGAGGCCATTGATTAGAATGCTTTTGGTTACAGTAAAAGAAAACACAAATTAGTTTAAGCAATAAAGGAGATTTATTGACCTACATAACAGGAAAGTTTCAGTCAGTGCACTGAAACAGTCTCTCTACTATTCTCTTAGTACTACCATCCTCATGATAGCAAAGTAGCTACAGCTTCGAGTTTCTACTTCTATAAACCGTATTTCTCCAGAGGAAGAAATTGTACCTGGGTTCTGAGTTCTAGTCTAAATCTTGAGCTTCATGCTGATTGGGCTGATCTCTCTGGCCAGGGCAATACAACACTCTGGCTTTTGTTAATTCTTAAAACAACACTTGAGCCAAGTGCTTTGGAGCTGGACTTGGGTCAAATGCTGTAAAGCCACGTAGCTGCTATCCAATGGAGAGGTAACCATAATATCCCCTAAGGTTTCTGTGGTAAATGATGATGATGTTGACCGAAGTAAAAGACAGGAAAAGGTACAGATTTGAGGGAGAAGATACAAATAAATAAATTTGATTTTGTAAGGGTTAGGGAAGATAACAAGCAACAGGAGCATTTCTGAATGAGGGAGCATCCTCAGGAAAGCCTCTTAAGAGGGAAGCAACTGGGCTTGATCTAGGAACTGAGAGAAGGCCATTGGGCTGGCTTCTAATGATCAGGGAAGACTAGATAAGATGAGGTTGGAGAAGGAGGCTGATGTCTTTGGGTCATGGTAAGGAGTTTGGATTCCAAATGCAATGGGAAATCAGTGACAGGTTGACATGATCCAATATACATTTTGAAAGGAACATTCTTGTTGCTTTATGGAAATTGGAATAGATGGGACTTAGAGTGGATGCAGGGAGAACACTTAAAGGATATTTCAGGAGTCCAGGTTAGAACTAGATTGGGGTGTGGGGCAAAAGAAATGAGGAACAATGATAGAGTAAGGAAACATTTTACAGTTTGAGTTGACTGGTTCTTAAGATGGATTAAATTTAAGAGTTGAAGGAGATGGACAAGTTAGACTCTTACTTTTCTGGCTTGAACTGCTCTTCAAATAGACATCATATGGGGAAAACTAGAGGAGAAATAAATTTGGCAGGAAGATCATTTTGCAAATGCAAGGTTTGAGATGCCCATTAGATTTCCAAGAGAATATGTCAAATGGTTTGGCTAAGTGAGTTTGGAACTCGTGTAGAAGAGAGTCAGGGCTGGAGATGTGAAATTAGTGTCCTTATGAGAAATTTGGATGATAAGCTGTTGTTTCAGGATTTAAGATGCCTAGAGAATGAGGTATCCTCTATAGTCCCTGAGGTTCAGCCATTTATTTCATGAAGTTTTGAAATTCGGTCTATTTTGACTTGATTTTGTTAATCATTTGATTATGATAATTCTTTAATAATATTTCCCTGTTTATTCCCCTCCCCATTTTTGGCAGCTCGTAGACATAAAGGTTGAAATAATAATAAAACTTATTCCTTTTGTTCCCTACTTTGAAAAAACTGCTTAGGTTTTTGGGAATAGTTACTGAAACTGTGTTTTATTCTTTCTCTTCTCTGGGCTGATTTTTCAAAACTTTTCTGTTTACATGTACATTTTCCTGAGACCTATAGACTTATTTTTAAAAAATAATTATTTTGAATATGTAACTTCTGTGCATGATATAAAATTCAAAACATACAGAAAAGTCTTCCTACTCTAATGCTCAACCAACCAGTTACCTTTTTGTTCCCAGTTCTTATGAATCATCCCATATCAGTTCATATAGAGCTGCCTCACATTCTTAAATTGTTGCATGGTATTCTACTGTATGGGCATATTGTAATTTATATATCAGTTCCCCATTGTAAACTGAGGTTTTTGCTGACCTTTACTGTGCCAGAAACAGTTCTCAAAAAAAAAACGACATTGTAAATGATATTTTCTAGAGGTAGGTAGATTTTATATATATGTATATATATCTCAATCAGGATAAATTCCCAGGAGTGGAATTACTGGGTCAAAGAGTTGATGCATTTTAAATTTTGATAGGTATTGCCAAATTCCTCTTCCTCCAGAGGTTATTAATTGTACCTTTTCATTAATAATGATGAAAAATGCCTTTCCCCTGTGCT